GCAACGCAACGCCTAAAAAGACAGTATAAGTCATTATAATCCATAATTATGTCCCCACTGGATGCAACAAATGCCTCGTTTATTATGGGTTTTAATGTTTTTGTCTCGTCGCTCCGGCCAGGACATCACAGTATGTTAAGGGGCGTAACATTTCCGTCTCACGCTTGAGGTATTCGGCCAATCACAACACACTGGATAGCTGACCAATCAGACCACACCTCGCTTTTCAGACCGATGAGCTTTGTAAAAACTGATGCGTTTCAGAAAGGCGGGGCATAGAGGAGAAACAATAACGTACAGTATGTGGAAAATAATGTGTTTTTGAACCTTAAACCGCATAAACATTTCATTACACCAAATAATGTTCTTTTTAGCAGCATCATATGACCCCTTTAACACAGCACATATGTGACAGGGACGCAGTAGTATGACAAAAGAGCGTCACATGATCCTGAAAGCACATTGAGTGTAAGGTCATGTGTTGAGTTTTGAGTGTGTATCACAGCTGCCCGTGTGTGTTTGGAGGAACGGGGCAGCAGGAGGACGTGTGTGTGATATGATAATCCTCTGTAGATTAACACTAGAGGCATGACGCTACAGTTGTGCGCTAGCAGCATGATACAAGAGAGAGCTGAGCAGAGGGATAAACCCAGCTGTCAGTGCCTTTCTGTAGTGCAGACGCACTGAAACAGACACAAATGTGGAGGGGCTGCTAACCAAAAGGGCCAGGGTTCAAACCCCAGAGCGGACAATAGAGTCTCGCTGGTCACTAAAGCCTACTTAAACCAGGTGGACATCTCCATTACATTATATAAAAATGCTAATGTTATTCATTATTAAAAATGACATTAAAACTTGAAAAGTCAACTTGTTTGTCTTTATAAAACCTACATATTGAAACACATCTGACAAACATTGGCGAACATGTTCTGATGAATAATACTACCAAACATCTCCTAACGCAATAACCATGTGCTAGTGATTTTACTGTGGTTTTGGGATGTTGTTGCTTTACAAAACGCTTAAAATTCCCTTAACGTAGAGATATGTATCGGGGGTAAGATCCACAAGATTGAAGATCAACTTGATGTTTATTTCTAAATATCAAAAGATTATGCTCACATTCATTCATTGTGGAACAAAATGTAGGAATATTTTTCATTCCCGTTTAATAGCATGAAATATCTTGACGGATATCAACATCCAAAACAGAAAGAACCAGAAAGATAAACCAGAAAGACACTAGTGAAAAAGAAGCACACTCTAATATAAAACAATATAGCAGGTCCCACTTTTTTTTAATATAGGTGTCTTTAAATACTAGTATGTACTTAATAATAAAAAAAATTAATTGTTAGGCACACTGTACTTATTGTGTTCATGTTTAATTGCAAAACACTTTTTAAATTTAAATTAAATGCAAGTACATAGTAGTTAAGGACACTTAATGTAAAGTGGGGCCTATAGTATATTATATAATAATATAGTATTATTTTAAATAAGTATATTAATGTAATGTTTTCAGGCCATTTTTGCATGTTAATTGCAATTAAATGAAAATGTATTAGTTAAAATTTCTATTAAATGCATGGCTGACCTTTAGAGTGCTTTTCGACACAATTAGGATTTCATAATTACTTCAATTTTCTTTGAAATATGGTACTGCTGAATGCACTGACAAACCTTTATGATAAACTAAAATATAATTGAATGTAATTTCTATTGAATCTTGTATGTCATGCATTTAAATATATTTGTAATTGCACATTTGTAACGATGAAGTTGCAATTTAGCACATTATATTAACATTAAATATATTAATATTCGTCGCATTAATATTTGTGCATTTAATGTTAATATATTAACATTGAATGAAATGTTGAATAACACACTACAGTTAAAATTATAATCAAGTACTTTACATGTGCTTTAGTACGTTAGTCAACACATCAAAATAAATGTATTTCTTTAATTAAAGCACGATACAAAATTATTAAAACAATGATTTAAAATGTACTTGAAAGTCAACATTTTGATTTGCCGTGGAAGAGAACTCTCTTCGAGTACACTTTCGTAACCTTATATTATCTGCAAGTTCATATTTTTAAACACACTTTTAAGATTTGAACATTAAATGCAATTAAGTAAACACAAAAACATCTTAAAAATATCTATAAATTATCATTTTAAAAATCCTATACCAAGTAATATAGTTCATTACTTTAGATTGCATCATAAAGATTCAAGCTTGGTGCAATAATAATGTTTGTGATAAGAATATTGGTGATAAACAGATAATAATATCTGTGCAGTCAGAGGTGTGTGTGTATCATACAGCTATTTTACAATAGTAACTTAATGTCTCTTTTCTCCCATGCTCTCACTGTCTATGATAAGGTCAATAAAGGGGACACATTATGTCTTCACTCAGTTGTGCAGTCAGAGGTGTGTGTGTATCATACAGCTATTTTACAATAGTAACTTAATATCTCTTTTCTCCCATGCTCTCACTGTCTATGATAAGGTCAATAAAGGGGACACATTATGTCTTCACTCAGCAGTTCAGCTTTACTGCACCAGATTCTCTGTTACTGCACATACACGGCTTTTTTCCCTTGTGTTGCCTGGATATCATCACATCTTGTGTGTAAAGAATAGCACGGACTATATACAAGCAGCCCTTCAACACAGAGGAAAAAATAGACGGCCTTAAGTTAACCCGGCCCCTTTCCTGTGTTTTAGACAAAACAACCTTCACAGCCTCTCCTCCACCCCTCCCTCTAAATCTGCCCATACCGAAGGGTGGGGAAACTGCGCAGACGCTGTCCTTCTCCATATAAGCCACCACTTTTACTTTGAGGTTGTTGAGGTTTACAGATGAATGTCTCTCTTTGTAGCTGCTGTCAATCATCTAGTATCCATGGAGACCGATGCTACAGGCAAGAAGCTATCAGCATTGGCTGAAGCTGCGACAGCATCCGTCTCTCATATGAAAGCCGTATGTTCAGATGTGGGTGGTGTGGACGCGATTAGCAACACCCAATCACTACGTTTATTCAACGGACAATGCCTTGATTATTTACACTGTCTGGCTTTATTTATCGCAGGATTCACAAATAGATTAGGGGAAACAATTGTGTGAACAATGTAGGAAAACACACTTTCCAATGTTATTCTAGACTGGGGAAAGGGAGTTTATACAGTGGTTGACCGATATGAGTTTTAAAACGGTGAGCCAAAACCGATATCTATAGAGCGGGACAGACGATGAATCTTAGATAGAATCTACAAAGCTTTTTGTATTTTCTGGGCTGTTTTTCCAAGGAAAAAATGTGGTATGGATTTAAATATGGTAAAAACATGTGATTACTACACTTCCATTGCTTATGATTTGTATTTGCCATCGATATAATTTCTATGTGTGGTTTTATTCAAAAATGTGGGGTCAGTAAGATTTTTTATTTTTTTTATTAATACAGTGATGCATTAATTTAATCAAAAGCGATAGTAAAGACATTTATAATGTTACGTTAATAATCATGTTACTTGAGCATCAGATCAGCATATCAGAATGATTTCTGAAGGATCACGTGACACTGAAGAAATGCTGCTGAAAATTCAGTTTTGCATCCAAAAAAATCAATTATATTTTTTAAATATATGTGCAAATAGAAAATTGTTATTTTAAATGGTAATATTATTTCACAAAATTGCTGTCTTTATGATCAAATAAATGCAGCCTTGGTGAGAGACTTCGTTCAAAAATATTTTGGTAACACTTTACAATAAGGTTCATTAGTTAACATGAACTATGCATGTACAATACTTCTACAGCATTTATTAATCCTAGCTAATGTTAATTTTAACATTTACTAATGCATTATTAAAATCAAAAGTTGTGCTTGTTAACATCAGTTAATGCCCTGTGAATTAACATGAACTAACAATGAACGACTGTATTTTCATTAACTAACATTAACAAAGATTAATAAATACTGTAATAAATGTATTGTTCATTGTTTGTTCGTTCATGTTAGTTAATACATTAACTAATGGAACCTTATTGTAAAGTGTTACCAAAATTTGTAAAAATTTATCAACACAAACCTGGGAGGAGGAGTGTACAGTATATACAGTATAATAGAATTTATTGATCCTAAATTAGATGTGAATTTTAAATTTGTGGGAATTAAAGGAATTATTTGACACAATATTTACTCAGAAAAGAGAATCAATCTGTTGTAGTTTGCGTGAACAAAATGTTATTTATTTATTTACTTTGTTTTGTTTCATTCGTGTTTCATTTGTAACCGCTGTCACAAATTAATGAATCGGAATCATGCACAAAACATAGCTATCTCCATAAAATATTGGATTTCTTCAATTTGAAACCATTTGGGTATGCAGGGGAGTATTTATTTATTATTATGCTTTATTTACATCTATATTACGTTTTCTTTTTTCTTTTAAAGTGTACATTGTTCATTGACAGCACTAAACGGCCAATAATCGACTTGGCCAATCTAGCCTATTGCTAGTTTTTTGTGACGAAGACACATCCTCACTGAATGACCGCTGTGTCATGTCCCATCAAACCTTCACACTGACAGAAGGACAACCTAAAACAGCAATTCAGTGCCTGTCTGAAAAAGCCATCTAACACCGAGTAAAGCAGACAAGAAAAACCTGCCAAATGAAGACATGACTCATCCATTCAGTCCATTCAGCCTTAACATTTGGAGGGATTCCTGGAATTCACTGCATTAAAGCGAATGTTAATGGTTGAGCGTCAGTTACTGTAAGCGTGGTTCACCTGTAGGCGTCCGTCCAGCGTCCTCTGGATGGTCACGCACTTGCTGGGATGGACTCCGTTGGTGGTGATGGCGGTGATGAGGGAGTCCAGCTCGTCTTTCTTCTCCTTCAGTTTCTTGACCAGGCTCTCGATGGCACGCTTGGCGAAGCCCTCGTTTTCGCCGCCCTGCCTGTGGCACATGAGGCTGTGCACGATACTGAGGCAGGCGTCATTACTGTTGGGAGAGTTCACGGACATTCTGCTGCTCTGACAGATGGGAAAACAGAACAGCAGCATCAACACACGACACTTACACGCTGCATCTAGTGTGCCAACACACTGTCAGTGCCGTAGTAATGCTTCATGGACATTAGTGGTAGAATCGCTCAATATATCATAGCTATAATTATGCTCAGTTTCCTAAAATAGTTCACCCACAAATGAAAATTCTGTCATTAATTACTCGCCCTCATGTCGTTCCAAACCTGTAAGACCTTTGTTCATCTTTGGAACACAAATTAAGATATTTTTGATGAAATCCGAGAGCCTGCATAGACCGCAATGCAACTGACAATTTCAAGGCCCAGAAAGGTAGTATGGACATCGTTAAAATAGCCCATGTGTCATCAGTGTTTCAACTGTAGTAAATTAAGCTACGAGAATACGTTCTGTGTGCAAAGAAAACAAACAAAAAAAAAAACTTTATTCAACAATTTCTTCTCTTCCGTGTCAGTCTTTGAACCACTGATGACACATGGGCTATTTTAACGATGTCCTTACTACCTTTCTGGGCCTCGAAAGTGTCAGCTCTCGGATTCCATCAAAAATATCTTTATTTGTGTTCTGATGATGAACGAAGGTCTTACGGGTTTAGAACGACATGAGGGAGAGTAATTAATGAGACAGAATTTTAATTTTTGGGTGAACTATCCCTTTAACTGTGCATGTCTTTTTAATTCCTTTTCCTGGATGTCAAGATGATGCTTTGTCATTTTGTATTGTTGTATTACATTTTGTATAAAAACGTCAGGCTTGTGGCAGTTTGATCAAATAATGAGTCTAAAAAAGATCATTTGTCACACTGGGAATGGAAGTTAAGTGCATTGGATTATGGGATACAGTATTCCATACGGTGTGCTTTGTCATATTACTGCACATTGTCTGCTCCATGTATACAAAAACTGCATATTTGCACAGCATGCATACAAAATACTGCGGAAATAGTAAGAGTAGCAAATTAGTATGCAATTCCAAATATTCCAAATGTTTAAAAAAGCAGTAACATTTAGTGTAAGGAGCCAGCCAACAAATGGCTTGTGCTGCCTTCAAGTTCATCTGGGAAACTCATACTTCCAAGTCGGGCATTTGCTGTTATGAATTTGCATTTAAGATGTAGCCTAAACAAAACAAAGCAATTGTGAACAAAAAGTTCACTATCCGAATTCACATTGACGTAAAACGACTGAAATACAGCATGTAAAATCAAAGAAACTTGCATTATTCCCTGCAGAATTGCTATCCTCTCTCTGATCTCTATAGGTTACAGAGAGGCCTATGATATCTATGTTATAGATCAGTGTTTCCACAATGTCCCCCTTGCAACATCACAACTCGTGTTTTATCAAGAAATGTGATTTTCTACACTCGTAAATATGACTTTGCTTGGGCAGAACTTGTAATTAGGACATTTCCGACTTCACTTGAAGGCCACATACTCGCAGTTTTCCACGCACAATAAAGTGAGATAGGAAAGAAACTGCATATGCTGCAAGCGACCGAGGTGGTTTACACAGCAGTGATGAGCTTGGCTTTGTATTTCTGTACATAAGAAGCAGAAATGTCATGTTTCGGTGATGAAAACCCCTGTGATCTTTGCATGAGATGCTGCAAGTGCAAAAGTGCAAGATTTCTAGAGTGCAGTGGTAATTGAGAGCTGGTGCAGCCCTGACGGATCCTGACACTTCAGATCTCTGAGCATCATCGACTCTAATCTGGGGGGAGCGTCTCGGAGACCCTTATTATCAGACTCAGCGATGCTCTCCATGTCTGCGCAAGTGGCCCTTGAGGCAGAGCACCAGAGGAACAACTTTACATTAAGACAGAATGTACAATGCTATCAGATGAACTGATTTAATACGCTGTGATATTTGAGAAAGCGGTTTCTTTTTAGCTTCTTCTGACAGAACCACTCATGCATTACTCCTCTCTTCTTATCGGGGTGTATTACTCTGTTATTTCATCATATGTAGTGCAGTCTACTTGACTAAAGCATGGCGGCCTGATTCTAGAGGACACTCGGATCCAAACCCAGCTTTAGATATCACATAATAACGAAACCCCAAGGTTTATGGCCCCAGTTTAAGACGCAGACTTTCATTAACAGATTTAACATGCAATATTGTATATATTAGGCTACATGAAATAATAACAGCCTAACATTAGGCCTAATTCAATAGAAAGCCCTAATGTTTACACTACACAATACCTCATCCAACACATTCCCAGCGTACTGTAGGATAATATCACAGTCATGCAAAGTTAAAGCCAAACTGTTGACTGCTCTGCAGGCAAACAAACCCAGCGGTCACGTGCCGTCATAAGAGCTAGTTAAGCTTGCATGCAACCCAACTAACTAGTCGGGTCAGTACGACCCAGGCGAGCTGCTGAATGAACAGCCTCCTGCTCGCGAGCTTGCTGTGAGAGGGTGGACGCGAGACAGCATTCAAACGCTGGGCAGTTCCGAAACATTTCAAAGCTCAGACCAGGGCAAAGATGAGTTATTGCGACACGGCCAGACGCAAAGTGCTCCCTAACGAGCGAAATGTATCGCAGAACCCGCTCGGTGCATCTAAAGATGCATAAAACAGACGCACAAAAGATGCCAAAATACTCACACATCGGTCGTATTGTTAGAGAATAGCGAAAAGCTGTCTTGTGGACAAGGACGGAGAGGTAGTAATTCGTGCCCCCTTCCCCCTCTGGCATCTAGTGTGAGTGTATCGGAGTCGCTAGCGGACTATCAGGCTCGCCGTCTCCGCGTCCTGGCCGCTCGCTACAATAACAAAAGCGGGTAGACATTGTGCGCTGAGCGTCTCGCCCGGCTCCAGCCAATAGGAGGGCGAGTCTCAAAAGGACGGCGGCGCTCAGCCAATCACGACGCGGCTCTCGCGGCTGGGCCCCCGGCCCGAGCTCTGTCTGGGTCGCGTCTGGACTGACATATCGGCGCGACTCTTTTTTTAAGGTGGCGCCGCTGAGATTACTCCGCCCCGTATCGGCTCACCCCGCCCCATTCATCCCTGCTCAGCTTCCATCATGATTGAAATTTACAACACAGGTTTATTAACTATGGAACGATTTTCAAATAGAACAGCAAATTGCATTTTCAATTGCGTTTTCAGTATGTGGACGCCTAGATTGTGACATAATCCAAATGCAAATCCCGCATTAGCGTTTGCGTACGCACAATAGGTCAATATTCACTATTAACCAAACGCTTTTCACCTGTCTCAGCATCTCTCACTGTTTACTCTCACTTACACTTTTAATCCGTAACAGAGAGCGTGTCACACCTGCCTCAAGACCTTTTACCGTGAGTATAATAATGATTCTAACATAACACTAAGCCAAACACCAAAAAACAACTACATGTGTGTATGTACAGCCACACATATACATATACATACATATAAATACATCCAATATATATATATATTATTTCATTTCCATTTTGTATGTTGAATTACTGAAATAACTCAAAATAAATACAACTAAAACTTAATAAAAAGCCTATATAGACATAATAAAAAAACTAATAAAATGACAACATTACTACAACTGTAACTAAAACTAAAATGGATAACTAATACAAATCAAACGACAGTAGTTTATCAGTAATCCTAAAAAAATAACACTGAGCCAAACACACACGCTAAAATAACAACAACTTACTGACACATAGTAAGAAATGGTTATAAAAAAACTGAAACAGAAGTGAAACAAGTAGTAGGAAAGAGGAGAAATAAAAAGCGATACTTATGTCCCTTGCCTTTTTTATATTAAAGTATTGATATTGCTATTTAGACACATGGTGCTTTCTTACACACGTGGTGACACGCTCTCTATTATGGATTAAAAGTGTTGAACTGTTGAATAAAATATAAAGGAAGGTGGAAAATAAGTATAGATTTGCACTGTCTGTTTGTTTAAGTGCATCAAGTGGAGTGCAAACGGTAAAAGGTCTTGAGGCAGGTGTGACACGCTCTCTGTTACGGATTAAAAGTGTAAGTGAGAGTAAACAGTGAGAGATGCTGAGACAGGTGAAAAGCGTTTGGTTAATAGTGAATATTGACCTATTGTGCGTACCGTTGTGGCCGTCACTGTGCGTTCCCGAAAGCACAAATGCAGGATTTGCAATTGCATTTGGATTATGTCACAATCTAGGCGTCCACATACTGAAAACCCAATTGAAAATACAATTTGCTGTTCTATTTGAAAATTGTCCGGAAAATCGTTCCATAGTTAATACAGGTTAATAAGAAAATGTATAATTGTATTTGGAAGAATAGGGCACAATACTTAAATAGCGGTATATTAGGCAATGTATTTCATCAAGCTGGTTTAAATGCTATTGACTTTGAAGTTTCTAATACTATTTTTTAAAATTAAATAGATTCAGAATGATATTAAAACTAATAAAAAATGGTGGTTCAGACACACTCTCTCTGTTTAAATCTAGACACACCTCTTTGGCCAAGCATTCAAATAATGCATCTCATAATCTTGTACTGCAGCTATATCTGATCAAATGCACATTATTATTCTTTAGTTTGGGTTAAACAAATCAATTTTGCTTGGTTGGAACAGCAGCTACGCTAATTATGTTTCTATTTGTTTCTCTGTTTCTGCTGGGATTGACATCCCGTGGTAACTACACTGTAAAAAATGACCGTGAATTTAACGGTAAAAGACTGTGAAATGGTTAACGGTAAATTCCTCTACTATATACGGTGAAAAACTGTGTTGGACATTACATGTATTGGACATTAATTTTACGGTAGTATACCGTTTTTGGAAGTGAAAAAGACTGTATAATTTACAGTGAATAACCGTAAATTGACATTCCCAGAATTCCCTGCGTTACATTTCAAATTTGATGTTTTTTTGTTGTTGAAATAACAGTTTCTTCTTAGTTTTTTCTTATCAGTTTTGTATATTAGGGTTGTGTGTTTCACCTAATGTTGTTAAATGAATGTTTATTGCATTATTTCAGTTTCATGTGTGTTACCGTGATGCTGTTTGGTGTTTGTGTGAATGACACTGTGCACCTTCTATATATGTTATTATTTAAAAGCTGCTTGTGATGGGCTTTGGTTCATCATGTGACTTTCTCATCACCACCTGCATTTGGTGGTTATCAGTGTATTAGAAAGCTACAAAACAGACGTCAGTACTTCAATAGGTTGGTATATTAACATAAATAGTGTTCATCGTCTGTTTGATTACGTCTTAAATAGATTTTTCCGTACATTTCTGCCATATGTACATTAACTGACAGTCACCACTGATAAGCTACCACTAAATATTGTAGAAACTTAATTTGCTGTAAAGTTGCTTTGCAATGATTTGCATCGTGAAAAGCGCTGTACAAATAAACTTGAATTGAATTATTATATCCAAAATTTAGTTTTTAACGGTTTGGCGGTATTACATTTCTCCTCAATTGTAACTTTGATATTAATAAAATCCCCATTAAACTGTCTAACTTTCATAGGCAAGCTCTGTTATCCTGAGTGCATGGTGTACAAACAGACAACCAGAATTTCTCTCCTCACAAATGTTTGATATGGAATAATAAAGATGTTAAATATAAGAATAAACACTTTTTTTGAATATTGGTTTGGAAATATTTTATTGGTGACGGTTGTTTCACTATGATGGGGTCGCTTACTTTCATATGGAGAATTTCTGGATCAATTAAAACTCACAATATCTGCAAAGGATTAAGCACTGGTCTGTGATGCTATACCTCCTGGTCTCCTTCAGTTGTTGCGTGGTGCTAATGCTGTTGATTTGGATGTAACTATTGATTTTAGTTTAAGGTGTTGGATGGTATGAATATTGTTGATTAAAAATGCAACAATAATTTTCTTAGACATATTTGTCATTCACCTAGGATACCCCCAGCTAAAAGTTTCTGGAATTCACGCTTCCGGGACATTAAGTGGGAGAAGGCATTTTTGGTTTCCAGGAGATATTGTCAATAAGATTCAAGAGGTTTCATTTAAAATGATCCATCGTATTTACCCAGTAAATCAGGTTATAAAAAGATTTAAGAAAGATATTGATTTGAAATGTCAGTTTTGTCATTTGAATGATGAGACTATTTGTCACCTTTTTTTTGAGTGTATTTGCACATAATTGTTCTGGTGTGATTTTGATTTCTTTTTTAAGGAGATCTCTGGAACTGACATTAATTTGGAGGACAAAAATATTGTATTTTTTATGATAAGCCTTTAGAAAAGAAAATTAGTTTTGTTCTTGATTTGTTTATTATCTTAGGGAACTATCACATTCATAAATGTCGATGGGCAAAAAATACACCTAGTTTGATACAATTTAAATTTGAGCTTTGTCAATATCTTAAATCATTGGAGGGTGTAAGGAACAGCAAAGCAGCAAAGACTATAAACTGTTGCAACACTTTTTCACACCACTGTATGTAGTTAGGTTTCACAAAATAAAACCGAGCAAATAAAGTGTAATGATATTAATAAAAACAGTATTCTTCCACCAAACAACGTAGTTCCTCAGATTCAGTTGTGGTTCCAACAAAGAATCAAGGACCAGAACTATTTGTTTTATAAATATGGATTTGACTTTGATACCTGTGTATATAGTTATTCATCCTTGTATTTTTTTGTCTTTAGTGTTTTTTTTTTTATTATTATTATTGTAATTTATATATGTTTTTACTTATTTTGTTGTTGTTATTATTATTAGTAGTATTCTGTACTAGAAAGGTGCGTTCCAAATCGTCCTGACCTGAATCCTATTGAGATGCTGTGGCATGACCTTAAAAAGGCGGTTCATGCTCGAAAACCCTCCAATGTGGCTGAATTACAACAATTCTGCATAGATGAGTGGACCAAAATTCCTCCACAGCGCTGTAACAGACTCATTGCAAGTTATCACAAACGCTTGATTGCAGTTGTTGCTGCTAAGGGTGGCCAACCAGTTATTAGGTTTAGGGGGCAAACACTTTTTCACACAGGGCCATGTAGTTTTGGATTTTGTTTTCCCTTAATAATAAAAACCTTCATTTAAAAACTGCATGTTGTGTTCACTTGTGCTATCTTTTACTAATATTTAAATTTGTTTGATGATCTGAAACATTAAAGTGTGACAAACATGCAAAAAAATAAGAAATCAGGAAGGGGGCCAACACTTTTTCACACCACTGTATGTAGTTAGGTTTCACAAAATAAAACCGAGCAAATAAAGTGTAATGATATTAATAAAAACAGTATTCTTCCACCAAACAACGTAGTTCCTCAGATTCAGTTGTGGTTCCAACAAAGAATCAAGGACCAGAACTATTTGTTTTATAAATATGGATTTGACTTTAATACCTGTGTATATAGTTATTCATCCTTGTATTTTTTTGTCTTTAGTGTTTTTTTTTTATTATTATTATTGTAATTTATATATGTTTTTACTTATTTTGTTGTTGTTATTATTATTAGTAGTATTCTGTACTAGAAAGATGCGTTCCAAATCGCGTACTTATGCACTATTCTATGACATTTTGTAGTATAAATAGTGCGAGTAGTGTGTTCACATTGAAAATTCCAATAAGAAAAAGTGCACTTTAAATACCCGGATGATGCACTTTAAAGGGTCATGAGACCCTAAAGCGCTTTTTGAGATGTTAACATATATGTACAGGTTGCACATCAGTGAAAACAATAATATTGTTATAACATAACATTGTCTGTTATTAAGGGAAAAGTGGTTATTTTTTCATTTTTTGGAGCAATTTCGTTCTTCCGGTTCAAAATTGCAAAGTAACCGAAAAAAATGAAACAACATGGTTGAGTGCATAGTGCATAAGTATATCAACTGTGTCCCAAATGACCCACTATGCACTTATACACTATGTATTTATGCATGTAGTGTATGAATTTAATAAAGTTATTTTGTCATTCATAATCGGAGTCCTATAGCCCCTTCCCCTTTGCT